CTGTATAGGAGTGGAAATGGATGAAAAATCTGGAGTTATCTTTCATGCAATCCTCTTTCTGTACAAGGAATGTACAAAAGCCCTGCTCCCCTGAATTCAGGCAGAACCAAAGGAGTAGGCCATGTCTATGCTACAAGGGGGCTAAGTATGGCTCCCGAGCTATGCTGGCATAATCCTGTAGCATAGACATAGCCTACAATGACAGAATGTTTTATTCCCCATTGCTGTAGGATACTAACTGCCCAAGTGATGGTAGCTGGCTTGACAGAATCATTCTTCTGATGACAGAGCAGCATTTGCACTGAGGGTCAGGTTAACATAACTACAGCAGTCAGGATGTGGATTTTTCGTGCCTCCTACGAGGTGTACCGGTAGTTCAGAATAGAAAGCCTAATCCGAACTACCTAGTCCGTGCCGCGTGTAGCCGCGGGCATGGAGTCCGAACTAGCGGACATTTAAAAATGGCGGCGCCCGGCAACATGCAAATGAAGCCCGGGAAATTCAAATCCCGGGCTTCATTTGCAACTTCGGTTGCCTACCTTAACCACCCTAGTTTGAACTAGGGTGGTAGTGTAGACATACCCTCATACACATACAATCCCACCCCAGTGCAATCCAAAATGCCAGCATGGCTTCACATAATCCTTTTTGTTTTAGGTGGGGGATTGTAATGAATTTACCCACTCATGTATCTTAATTGAAGGATATGTTTGCCCCCATCAATGTCAATGAAGTCTTAACTCAATCCTTAATGAGACTTCACCCAGCTCATAAGATTATTTATTGATATTACCACAGCACCCAGAGGACTTCACCAAGACTGGGACTCTGCTATGCTAGAGGCTTTACAGACACCCATTAAAAAGCAGTCACTATCCTGAAGCTTGACTCAAATGTGTACTGTTTTATTAGAGAGACAAGGGTGTGGTAATATCTTTTATTCATCCAACTTCTGCTGGTTAAAGGGACAGTCTCTCGAGCGCCACAGAGTTCTTTAGAAGCTGATCCAATAAAAGACATCTCACTCCCTGTGTCTCTCTCACATGTTGGGATCAATACAGCTACAACCAGGGTGCAGAGAGCCTCCAACGACCCCTGGGCAAGGGAGGGGTCAGTTCTGCTCTCCTGGAAGGGGTGGGGCAGGGGACAGTCAGCCTGCCACACTGCCTGGAGTGCAGTGTGCCCCCCCCCCACGCCCTCAAAGCCCGGAGTGCAGCCTGATTTAAAATACTTGGGGCTTTGACCACTGCCATTGCTGCTGCAGCAGTGAATACAACTGGGAGCCATAGGCCCTTTTAAATTGCTGGGCCCCAGGCAGCTGCCCTCTTTTCCCCCGCTACTCCCCCATTGTCTTCAGCCCTGCTACACACACTACTCTTAGTCACTTTCTGAACGTGTCACACAAGAATCTTCTTACCCACTACATGTGCATTGCCCCAACGGTCCTCTTACAGGTGCTTGTTCGTGGGTTTGAAATGCATTTCTCCGGAGAGCTGACAGAGTCTTAATTTTGTATAAGATTAGCAAACAAGCAACTCGATACCTCACTAAAGCACTCTGACAACTGATCCCAAAGGTAATAATTATCCCTTGAGTTTTCTGTCCAGAGAGTAGCCTATTCCAGATACAGTGGGTTTCTCTATAGACCCAATCCCAAGAATTTCTAAGCATTGGCATCTCCCAGAGAAGTCAATGGTTTGCCCAATTTTTTAAAAAAATTGTCTCTAGATCCTAGTTTAACCAGTCACCTCTTTGAAGTTGAGTAAAAAATTTAACCTCCCTGAGCCCTGTTTATCCATCTGTAAATGTGGCTAATTTACCTCATTGAGGGAGTGTTAGGGTATGTCTACACTACAGCACTAATTCGAACTAACTTAATTCAAATTAGTTAATTCGAACTAAGCTAATTCGAACTAGTGCATCTAGACCTAAAAACTAATTCGAATTAGCGTTTTGCTAACTAGCATGTCCACATTGAGTGGACCCTGAACCGAAGTTAAGGCTGGCCGAAATCCAGTGCCGGCAGGGCATCAGGTTAGGACTTAGAGTATGGAGCTGCAGCCTCAGGCTAGCCTGAGGGCTGTGCTTAAAGGGACCCCACCCCCACCCCGGAGAGACAGTTCTCAGGGATCCCCACTTGCGTGTCTACCTCTATAAGGGACAGCAAAGCAGTCCTGTCTTGGAGTGCCCTGAGTGCCCACACTCGACACATCGCAGCACTCGGCCATCAGCCTGGCTGCACTTGCCACAGGCTGCCATCCGGGGGGGTCAATCAGGGGGCTGTCAGGATCCAGGAGGCCCTGCAGGAGAGCTTCCACCCCGAGGAACCCGCAGAGTTACCCAGGTCCTTCCCATTGGGGGCTCATGCCCCATTTCTCCCTCACCTCCTTCCACTTACCCCTCCCTAGCCCATCTTCCTGATGTAAAAAATAAAGGACATGTGTGTTCAAAAATAGAAACTCTCTTTATTTAACAAAACTGGGAGTGGGAGGGGATGAACCTCTGGGGAGACTGGGAAAAGGAGGTGGGAGAGGGGAAGAGAGAGGGTGGAAGAGGGGAGGGGGAAACCTGGAAGGAGGGAGCTGGAAGGGGGAAGCCAGGGGAAGAAGGAGGAGGGGAAGTATCAAACTATGGTACGCCATATCTTCAGTACTGTGTACAAATGTGGTCTCCTCACCTCAAAAAAGATGTTTTGGCCTTGGAAAGGGTTCCGAAAGGGCTACTAAAATGATTAGGGGTTTGGAACAGGTCCCATATGAAGAGAGGCTAAAGAGACTGGGACTTTTCAGCTTAGAAAAGAGGAGACTGAGGGGGGATATGATAGAGGTCTATAAAATCATGAGTGGTGTGGAGAGGGTGCATAAAGAAAAGTTCTTCATTAGTTCCCATAATATAAGGACTAGAGGACACCAAATGAAATGAATGGACATCAGGTTTAAAACTAATAAAAGAAAGTTCTTCTTCACACAAAGTTCTTCTTATAGTCAACCTGTGGAACTCCTTGCCACAGGAGGCTTTGAAGCCTAGAACTATAACAGAGTTTAAAGAGAAGTTAGATAAATTCATGGAGGTTGGGTCCGTGGAGTGCTATTAGCCAGGGGGTAGGAATGGTGTCCCTGGCCTCTGTTTGTGGAAGGCTGAAGATGGATGGCACGAGACAAATCGCTTGGTCATTGTCTTCGGTCCATCCCCTCTGGGGTACCTGGTGTTGGCCGCTGTCGGCAGACAGGCTACTGGACTAGATGGACCTTTGGTCTGACCCAGTACGGCCATTCTTATGTTCTTATGTACTAAGCGCAGGGCTCAGGGTCGGGAGGTCTCACTGGAACAACTTGATTTTCATGCAAACCTGCTCCTGGGTTTGGATGTGGCCTTTGGTGGCCAGGCTGGCAGCTATCCTGCCCTAGACGGCTGCATTCCTGTGCCTAGTGTGGAGGTCGTGGACGCTGGAGGCCTCCCCCC